CAAAAAAATATACGTATTTTGGAAATGTTGAGTCGAATTAGTCTAGAATCGATTAATTTTATGAAAGAAAACCTTTCAAACAGCCGTAGTCCGTAAACTATGATTCCTACAAAATTGATTCATAAAGAACGGAACGTATCTACCGTCTTATAGGGGGATCTACTGTAATTACAAATTTACTTACATTCTGTCCACACTTACGAAAAACTTGGGACAACGAAGAAACACGAGAACTTGAAATAGTTCTTACGTCAGCTACACGAGTTTTACTGAATATCATAAATGTTATTTGAGAAATCTTCCTGTTCTTTCTTCCCAAAATAACTGTCAACGTGGTTTTCTTCCTCAATCGAGACTAGAAAGCGTTACCTTAAATGAAGGAGTTTGACGTAGACAACACCAAGAGCGCCGACTTATTCCAAAATAAATCAATTCCTACAATTATAATTACAAAAATATAATTTGTCCTTCTCGACCTATACTCAAATGGCTTTTAAAACCGTACTTACAACGGAATATGAAATTTGAATAAATTTAAGTGGCGCCGTCTGAAATTCAAAATAGATAAAAAACACTAATTTTTATTATTTTCGAAAACGAGAGTTAAACTTCGTATGATATTTTACTCGAATACAGTTCATAACAATTAATAGTGTTAAACATTTATTGTAAATTTATACTTTGAAGCGTAATATAGGAAACGCCCTCGTTAATTCATAGATCTGCGAACGTGGAGAATCCCGATTCAGATGTTATCGGAATCTTGGCCTGGTTCTAGAATGCTCCGATCATATATGTAACGCTTCTAATTCATTTAATTAATGTTATTTTACCAGCATTGTACAGTACATGCGACTTTCTCGAGATATCCCCTCCGAATGTTGCACGAAGTCATTTCCGGTTATCTGAGCTTACACTCCGAAGGGGAGCTACATTTTCACCCACGCGGTTTCTGGGTGTCAGGCAACTAACCTGCACGCGCTGGCTTTTTTACTCATTCGCTATCACGTACTGTTCTTGCCGCCGTCGTCATTTCCTCTTTGAGCATCGCCTCTACGTCCTTTCTCTTCCACTCGCATATTTCAGACTCGTTATCTATCGCCTGTAATTATAAATTTCCATTAATGCAGTATTACAATAGTTGCTGAGTTGGGATCCGGGGCTCACCAGTGGCTAAGCAGTCTTGTCTTAGATAAGCAGTCTTTAATACCTCTAGCTAAGCAGTCTTTAATACCTCTTGTCATAGATACACGAATACCTTCAATAAATCTTTTCCAAGTAGCCACGAGAGAATGTACACAAAAGTTCGTTTTCCGCCATTTTCGCACCGTGTCACAATGACTTAGATTTCACTGACTTCTGATTGGTGGATGCTACCGTTTTGCGGACGTATTCGCGTCGAAATTTGAA